GAAGAAAATCCCCACCCTTGTTTGGAAGCTCATATCTCTCCACTTTAAGAGTCAGCCTCATTTATTGAGAGAGCAGCCAAAGGAGAGCAGAGGAGTTTTCTCACATCTGTGAAGCCCCAAGTGCATGAAGGTACCAGCTGTTTTTTTATTATCTTCAAGGTTTGATTAAACTGGCACTGGTTAGTTTTTATTCATAAAGTGGCAACGCAGTGGAAAACTAGAGCTACTACTAAATGTAGTTTAAAAGACGTTAATTTATTGTACTTAATTAATTAAAAAGTTGTCATAAACAGCAGTGATGATGTAATTTTGTTCTGAGAAAATCTAAAATCGGTGTATATCAGTTCATACAGAGTAAAAACTCATCAATACTCTTAAAGATCTGAACAGAACTGAAAATGTATCTTCAAATTATGTTTTTATTTTGTGTGTGTGTGATTATATAACAGTCAAGTTCCTTATGAATCATTTTTTAACTACGGAGTACAAAGTACTCCACACTGGGGCGGCTGTGGCTGACTGGTTAGAGCGGTCGTCCTTCAGTGGGAGAGTTGGGGGTTCGATTCCACCAGCAGTCACATGCTGAAGTGTCCTTGAGCAAGACAATGAACCCTCATTGCCTCCGATGTGTGTCCCATCGGTGCATGAATAATAAAGCTCTGATTATAGATCTAGTATAGAGCTGTATGAATGGGTACATGAGGCACACGTTGTTGTAAAGAGCTTTGAGAGTCTTGTTAGACAGAAAGGTGCTGCATAAGAAACATTTACAAAGTTGTGTTAAATCTAACACTTTTCCTAAATTAAATTAGAAATTAAGAACTTTGTTCTGAAAAGTTCTTTAAGGTGTTCTGTTTTTTTTTTTTTTCTGACTCTGTGAAGCTATTTATAATCTCTTAAAGTTCCGGGTACAAATCATTTAGTTTTAGAGTAAAGTTAATGAAACACGTTCCACACGCGTGACGGGATTCTAATATTAAAAATTAAACGAGTACATTCTCTTTGTTTTATATTGACAGCAACATATTTACAGAAATACAAAATCGGAATGCATAGTAATCATGCTAAATAAAAAATTTGAACATTTCGGCTTGAGACAGACTCATTCCGTGTACAGAAGCAGCGTTCCATCTTTTTCCGTTGGAGAACCATAACCTCGGACTGGGAGGAGCTGACTCTCGTACCAGTCAGCTGCAACCAGAGCACACCGAGGGTCGTCGCTTGAGGACGCCAATAGAATCACATCATCTGCATAAAGCAGAAACAGAACCCTGGGTTCCCAAAAGCCCCTTATCCACAGGGCCTTTTGGGGCTCCTATGTAACTAGTTCGGGCCGATTGCGTGGTTTATCCACAATGCCTTCAGCAGTGGAACCCACCCCATTTTTGGGACCTACTTCTCTGAGGTCCCAGGTCTGGTTCTTGTTGGGTCTAGATGTGACATCAGCGCACTGTAGGTCACTGATTGGTCAGGGGGCGTATTCAATGGTGGAGGGCGGAGATCAAGGAGGTCATCCATTTTGGTTGTGTGTTGTTTTCCAGCTCTTCTTCTTCTAATACATGTTAGTGGTGCTTAGAAAAGAGCTTAATGTAGCACTAGCACCACCAGCTGGTAAGGTGCGTTGATATTAATAATCCGCCCACTAGAGGTGAACAATCCGCCCACTAAACGAGAACTATGGGCACTGTGGAGACAGAAAAAAAGAGGTCCCACCAGAAACGGACACAACAGGGTCCAACAAGAACCAGCCCTGTGGATAAGGGGCTAAAGTAGACCCTCTCCTCTACATGGCAGCGCCTTGAGATCCTATCCATGAACACCACAACCAGGACCAGAGACCAGGGACCAGGGACAGCCCTGGAGGAGTCACAACTAAAACCAATAAGAATGCAAACACAGCGCTTCCTTTAGTTGCACGTGAACCAGACAGTCCACAACTTTTACCCCAGCACACAGTACTCTAACAGAATCCCTCAAGACTGAAGCCTTCTGCAGGTCTACAAACACACGTGGACAAGACCAGGGGTTCCCAGAGCTGGGGTTGGGACTTGGGTCGTGAAGAGATGGTTCTTGAGTTTGTTTCCATTCATTAATAATGGTGGTAAAATCAGAAATCAGAAATATGTAGGAATATAACAATTTATGAGGTGTCCAGTCAATAAATTGACGTTTAATTGACTTTGTACTTTAACTAGAGATGGGGTCGTGATTCCTTACTGCTGGTATTTGTGGATGAAAATCTTTAAAGGGAAGAAGTCTGAGATTGTCTTCATCATATGTTTCCATACAAAGATGAAACCAGTTCTCTGTATTTAACCCATCGCACCAGGGATACACCCAGGTGGAGCAGTGGGCAGCTTTGTAAGTGCCCGGGGAGCAAGTGGTGATTAGGCCTCTTGCTCAGAGACACCACGACCTGTGGGAACGGCTGGAAGTCCAACCACAACTTTCTGGTCCCCAGTCGGCTGCTCTACCTCTAAGCCATCTCGGCCCCAAAGGTTAAAGTTTGGAAACCAGTAAACTAGACAAACTCCCATGAACCCCTCAGCATCTCTGCGGAGATAATGCAAAGTTAATAAATATTACTTGTGTATATTAAAGATCATTGCTAAGAGTCTAATTAGTTTATTCTAGGTTGATTCTGAAGGATGAGATTTAAAAATATCTGATGTATTTCAGGGAAAGGTTGTTGAAGAATTTAAAAGTAAACTGATTGTTTAAAAGAAAAATATATACAAACGTTGAAAACTTTGGATGCAAGAAAACGAGCTTGTTCAGGTATTTAATGTTAAACAATCCCGAGAAACAAACATTTGACTTTTATAGCAAAAGTAAAAGTTTAAAGTGCCACTGATGCTAAAACAAGATAAGAACCTGCAGACGGTGCAAAGAATGAAAACGATTCTTCACAAATGAAATTTTTCCCAATGTCTATGTTCATAATATGATTATTACGTGTACAAAAAGAACTGTTCGTGCTCTAGAATGTACCGGATGTGATAACGCAGGTCAGAACCTGGCCTTACTTCATTCCTGAAGTCTTTTGGTCGTCCTAATCTGATGTTTTTGACAAATGAAGATGAATTTGGTTCCAGAACTGGTCGTTTTTAAACTCTTTGGTAACGCTACTTAGTTCCTGTCAAGGGAAGTGTGTTATTTACACCGACCACGCTGCATCATTTTCATTTCTCTGTTCTGTGATTGACGTTAAATGTTCTATGTAATTATCAGTGTTGGTGTGACCGGGCAGTGAGGGATAGTTTTTATTATCATCAGGGTGATTGCTATGATTACAGTGACAGTTGTTGAGCTGCTGGCTCCCACGTGCCTCCAGCTTCTGACTGCAGCTGGGCTCTGATAACAGCCGGACAGGGCGGGGAGGGGCTGGAAGTTTCTACAAAACTGATATTTTCTGTTCAGGGAGTCAGAACGGGTCAGAGCCACTGACGAGTGTGAACTTGTCAATGTATTGATCGTCTCTGATCGTTGGCTGTTCTCCAAAGTTTTGTAATAAATCTGATGAAGCGTACGCCTGGTTGTTTTGGGAATCTCTTTTTTCCATGGCAGTTCCCATTTCACTTTTTTTTTTTTTTATCTATACCGATATGTTTGTTGACAGTACACCCCCCCCCCCCCGACAACA